TAGAAAAGTGGACTTCTATTCATCCAGTTTAGTAGCTTCTAATGTTTTTCTCTCTCTGTAATTATGTTTTTCACAAACAAAGGCCGCTATCGTGAAAAATAAGGAATATTTCCAAATGTATGCAAGCACACAGCAAGAGTGTTAAGACTGTAAACACTCAGCTTTCACCGTGAATGTGCATTTTTTGTTTCACATGGCCTTGATCACATCATGGCAACCAAAGTCCCTTTTATGTTTCTATACATAACAGAGGATGTATGTGGTATTGATGGGGACTGTGCAATAGGTGGGGCATACATGCTGTGTTAAAGCTCGGTTCACATCCAGCAGCCTGTGGAAATTACACCACGGTGAAAGAGCACTTTACAAAAAAAACACAGCCATCGTGCTGATGTGAACGAGAGTTGTAAAGGCAACAAGAATAAGCAATTGATGCCGTTAGTCAATGTCCCACAGCTATGCTTTAAAATCTCTGTCTCTCTCTGTCTGCAACCACTTTCCCATTGTGTGTCTCCTATCAGCACTCCGCTGCTATGACAGGTCAGTTAATATTGACATTATCTCGCTCCACCACGATGACAGCTCGAGCTGCAGGAAGCCGCTCATTAGCTCTGCATGCGCCTGTATGCGAGTGTGTTTTGTGTGTGTAAGTGTGTGTAAGTGTGTGCAAGCATCATTGTGTTGATTGCCGGGACAGAAGTCATTAGCCTAGTCAAACAGGTGTTAAAGAGACAGGGGACAGTCCCAATGTTTGCAAGGATAACGATAAGATTGGTGTCCTCGCTCAGCCCCATCACAGAGCGGTTATCTTCACACTGCACTGTGAGTGTGTTGAAGAGGGGCGAGTGTGTGGGCGAGTGTGTGTGTGTGTGTGTGTGTGTGTGTGTGTGTGTGTGTGTGTGTGTGTGTGTGTGTGTGTGTGTGTGTGTGTGTGTGTGTGTGTGTGTGTGTGTGTGTGTGTGTGTGTGTGTGTGTGTGTGTGTGTGTGTATGTTATTGGTCAGTGAGATTACTGACTGAGAGGAGAGAGAGATTTGTCGAGCAAATGTGGCTAGATGTCCATGCACATGTCAGGTTACATATCCGTCTGAAGTTCACTTAAAAAATGAATTTGGTGTGTGTATGTGTTTGTTTGTGTGTGTTTGTAATTATATGTGTTTCTCCATGGGTGAGAAGCCATAACGGAAGCTTTGGTGATAGCAAGCAATAGATGGATTGGGGGTAGAAAATGATGTGGTAATTGTACTGGATACACAGGTAATTGGAAGCTAAATTGGCTTCAGAGTTAAACCGGTGAGCACTCAGTCAGTCCGTGTATTGGAACCAGATAACCTGCTCTGGGTGTGTGTGTGTTAGTGTGTGTCTCTGTGTGTGTGTGTGTGTCTGAGTGTGTGTGTGTCATTTGAAAGACTAATAAGAACTGGACACGTTACAAAATAAGCCCAATGATGTTATGCAAAATGAATGCTTGCGGAATTCCAAGCCGCTGTGGGTTTCATTTCAAAATATTTTTGTATGATTAAATCTGACATTTATTGGCATTCATTTTACTATTGCTGCTCGTGTGTGCTCTCGTGATCTCTTGTTAAGCATGGTGGGTATTGACAACAAGGATTTCATTTGAGAAAGGAGCTTCAATCTTGACCTTCAGAACTTGTGCATTGCACATTTTTAAACTAAAGGTTAATTTAAATGTTCTTTTTCTGCTTGTTTTTGCATGGCTTCTTCAATAACAAGCCTGTTTAGATGAATACGTTTTAGATTGTATTGTATTATGTGATTTTTTGTAATGACCTGATAAGATCCAACCTGTGGGGTTTGTACATTTCTGTCCACTTTAATACATTTGTGTATTGGCATAAGGCATTTTGATGGGTATATAGCAAACTAACTCAGGCTGCTATAAATGTTGGCATATTGGGCATTGGTCGACGCTATGTATTTAGTCTTATAACAATTTCAAAGATTAATTAAATATATTACTCCACAGTGAAAACACATCTCCAGTCTGATATATTTTGGTGAAAATGTTAGTCTTGTGATTGCATTAGCCTAAAACATCAGCATTCCATTCATCATCTCAGAGTCAATCCTGGCAGAACCAGGGAGTCTTGGTCTGTGGTCTTTTGACTTCTGGTTGGTTGTTCCTTTTTATTATGAAAAAAGGGCAGAGTAAATGGTGTTTTATATGAATGAACTTTAAACTCTCCTTCAAATGTATTAGTTTTTCTAGGGATTTTATCAAATAAAATCTAGCCTGATGCACCAGAGGGTAAAATCTGGACAACTTATTACCTCGAACATATTCCTTTATGGATTTCCAGCCTCCAAATTTATGATTCGGTTCGAAATAATATTTCCCCCTGCAGCTAAATGTGTTAAAATGCTGCTTACTTTCATTCACATAACATTACTGCAATATCCATGACCTGCCTCCTTTGGAACAGAAGAGAGCCTGGAAGAAAGTAAATGAAACAGCTTTATCAGAAATGGGGAATCAGAAGAATAGCACTGCAAATCTGAAATAAACCAGTGTGAGTCAGAGGTGACCAGATGCGTCATTATATTTAGAGTTTGGTAATATATTCCATTTCAAAAATACCTTGCTCAAACTCAAGGGCACACACAAAGTAGGAGAGAAGGCTGTTTAAAAAAATCTCTATTGCAAACAAATGAAAGTAACTCTGTAAAAGACACAAGTTTTGTCTGAGCTATGTTTGAAGATTGTAAAAATAGGGATGGTATCGTAGCAACTGGCACACGTCCAAAGTAAAGGAGCAGTCAATAACTGTCTCTACACAAGTTGCTGCTGTCTGGTGGGATTGGTGGAGGTGACTGAGGGGGCGACAAGGAGGCCAAGACCCGAAGGTGCAAAGACCACTGGGTGGGCAGAACATCCAGGTGTTGCTGATGTTTTGCACGTTGCGAAGAAAAAGAGAATTTGGAGTTTGACAGGAGAGTTTTTGCAGAGTTTTTTTGGTAATGTACAGTCAAGCAAAACATGGTGAAGACCCTAGCAGCAAGATGACTTACTTTAGAAAGCAATTAAAAGCCTCCCTGGTGCCACTACACTGGGTTCTCGGTTTCATTTGTGACAGAAATTCAAATAACTGACAAAATAAACATAACACTAAGGTGTCAGGTCATCTGGAGCTGTCAGAACCGATGTAATGCACCTTGGTAAAGTTTATACAAGGAACTTTACTGGAAAAATAAACACAATTCTTTCCAAAAGTGTTTGACACTGCCACTTGAAAAATCTCCAATAGGTGGTCAGCAGGGTTATTTTTATGTATTACAGTATATTGATCAAACCAAACAGCCATTTCATTAAAAAAAGGTTTTTCACCAAATGTATCAGGAAATGACTCATGCTAATAGAAATGTGTAATCAACATTCGACCGCAGTGAATGAACCCATGCATAATCATATACGCTGAGAGCAGCCATTCAGAGACAACAAATAAACTTGCATCTCTCATATTGTTCAACATCCAAAAAACCCTAGGATTTTTATCAGCGATGTTATTCTGCAAAAATGTTTTTTTTTCTTTTTACTTTTTTTCCGCAAGATATTCCTAATGTTTTTCAACAATTTCATATTTTAACAAGTTATAAATTCAAATCAAATACATAATGTGTTTATACTACAGCCATGTAGGTCTCTAGAAGCCCCCTTGCATTGAAGAGAAATGTAATGTATAGATAAATATCTTTTTTTTTTTTCTTTCAGCAGTTTGGTGGGTATGGGTTCTGTTGATTATTATTCATGAGACGTCGTCTGCATTTCTCATGATTATCTTAATTTAGACTTTTTATATTTATTAGTATAAATTATAATATAGGCAGGTCTGAAAGCAGTTTTTCACTTGAAAATTATATGTGATTTTGCTTTTTTAATGTGGAATCCAGAAACACCTCTAACTGAGAGGCAGGTGCTTTTCCTGGAAACTTCAAGTAGCATCAAAGCCACTTCACTTGAAACAGAAAGTTGTCAAATGAGTCAGGATGGAAAGATAAATGGGGGAGCTAAGGTGAAGGTTCTTGAGGGGAACATGTTCAGTACAGCTAGACAGCATGGGCAGACTATTTGGCCACTCGAGATGAAAAGTCTGCCTCTGAGGATTTATTGAGGCAATAAAAGATAAGGTCACTCTGTTGTAGGCTTTAATATTAATGTGCCATTTAATGACCCTCACCATGGAAGAAACTAGGTTATCAGTAGTACTAACATATAGCTCCAGGCAGTTATTTTGTTATGGAGCATGTGTGTGTAGCTGGACCACCAGTCATGCATCAGAGAGACTCTCTTCAGTAAAATAACACTTTTTGAAAGTTCTTTGAAGTAAGCAAGGTTAAACCCATGCAGGCTATTTTATTGTTATTGTAGTCAAGCCACTACTGCCTTCCCAAGTATTTTGACATACAAAATCTCTATTTAAAAATAAATATTAACACAAATATTAATTTGAAGACCCTAAATAAAGTGCTAAAGTACTCATATATTTTACCTAAGTAAAAGCAGCAATACCATTCAAGAACAAATATTGTATTTCTCTTAATGTAAATGCTGAGTAGCTTGTGAATACCAACAAGGGTTCAATAAAAAAAAAAAAAAAATAATAAAAAAAAAAAAATAATATATTGGTTGTATATAATTAACCAGAATCTGCAAAGCAAAGTTCAAACTAAAATAGTCGATAAAAAGTGAAATGTTTGTAAAATCTAGTTACATACAGTGCCATTCCAACAAAACCATATAAATACTTCAAAATGTTGATGGTTATTTATTTGAAAGAAAAATGTGTAGAAAAAAAGACACATTTCTCTGTTTTTGGGGGGTTTGGTGGAGCCGTCCACCACGCTTTTCGTGCTGGCTTTGTTCCCGCCCCTGAATCGCACTGTCCAATAGGAACAGCGGGAGCACTCTGCTCGACCAATCAGCAACCACGGATGATAGTGAATAGAAGTTTAGTTTTTGAGTTTTGGATAGATCGAGGGAGAGATTAATATCGAGGCAGAGGAAATAAATGGGATTATCGGCGGAAAAGGTCAATGCAGAAACTTAGATATTGACTTTTACTTTCACTAAAGACTGAAAACGTTGTTGAATAAGGTTGAACAAGTGCCCTCTCTCTCCCCTACAAGTGTATCGAGTAGACGGTGGCAGGTGTTCAGTTGAGAGCGACGCATCGCCTCAGTCGGCTCCCCAAGCCTCAACAGGGTGCCGGAGACCAAGGAAAACGGCTATAAAGCAGCTAACTAGCCAAAAACTCCCGTGAGTACAACCGGATAACGTTGAAACATCTTCGTAATAACCGTTTATGTTCCCGCTTGGACTGTTTTCGAGGACCATTGAATACTCTGGATAAATGCGAGAGGCTTTCGGTGTCGCAGCAGCAAGAGTAACGTTAAGGTCTCTGTAACGGACGTTTTTTCCACTTCAAACCGGCTCATACTTTTAAGCTTTCAAACTCCTCTTCACTGGTGTATTTACAGAAAAACGAAGAAAGAAAACTCAGAGTTGTTGCTGTGAAACTTGTTACTCATTATGTCTTTTTTTTGCTAACCTGTTGTGTAATTTCTCCGTGTAATCCGAGACCCGGTGCATTACGGCAATTTAGCCTATCTTGTATCCGAGCGAAGAGAACCCCTTCTGGGAGAGTGTCGGATCATTTAGACCCGCGGAGACTCGGGTTAACAGTTAATTATGATTTCTAACTTCTGATAAGAGCCTGCACACCTTAACATCACCACACTCACTCTCGGTCCAGTTTGCTTGTACTAAAAAAACAGGGGTATTTACAGAATCAATTACTGGATTGATTTTTAGAGCCCACACAAACAGGGCAAAGCATGGACGGATAAATCACATGTTTTATTGCTTTTCTGTTAATACAACCACTCTCTAAACAGCTAAATGATCCGCGGGACAAATCCCCAGTGAAGACATCAAAACAAGCGCGGATTTGAGGTCGATAGCAGAGAATAAGCCGATAAGTCTTAAACACACACTCAAATGTATTAATTCCTTGCTCGGATCAATCCAAATGAAAATGAGGTATCGCAGGACGCAGAAACACACGGAGTCCGCCACAGCAGTCACAGATTACCGCGCAGCTACACGGTAAAGACAGAGACTATATTGAGGGAAAGTCTTTCTGCTTGTGAGGCAGGCGACCCCCCCTTCCTCCTTCTCCCGCTGCGTAGCGAGTGTCGGACACTGGATCTAGGGATTCAAAGCGGGGAGCCAGTCTTCAGTGACAGCGCTGAACTCCCGGAGCTCTGAGGTCCGATCACCGGGAGCTGAGGAGCCGAGCCCCGGTTTCTCTGTCTATTCGCCCGGACTTCCTTCCAAAGAGAGTTACATCAGCAAAGCACAAGCGGACACGGACACTATCGGTCACCTCTCTGCATGATGAAACCGGGAGTGTGCTGCCCTCAGGGGTCCCCGGAGCGTGTGGAGGGACCCGCAGCAGGGAGGCGGCGGGAGATGGTGAGCACCGGGACGGCCAGGAGTGGGAGCCGGTGTCCGCCGCTGTTTCTGCTGCTCATTCTCAGCAGCAGCTGCCACATGTTGCACGGACAAGGTAAGAGATTCACTGCCAGGGGCCCTGGGTTCAAATGTCAGATGATGCACTACATGGTATTTACAATGACATATGTATTAAGATCCATTCAAACTGTATTTAAAGGCAGATCAGTAATGTCTGAAAACACTTGACATGACTCACTCATTTGTCAGTTTCACTATAGTGCACAGGGGAAAAGTGATATGATGACTCCTTAACTGTAAACAAGACTGGGCTTTCATTAGACCAGTTTGGATTTAGTAAGTCCCTGCAGGAGAGTAAGGCCAACAACAATACTTTTCTTTAAATTAATTTCGATTATTTGAGGGATAAGGTACCTATTACACAGCATTACATTAATGTTATTGTTATGATGCATGGATTTTAGGATGATGATTGTAGGATTAAGGTATTGAGGAAATGTATGGGAGGGGTGTTACAGTTTCTGAGCATTGATAATCCCCTCTTAGTCAATGACCTGCTTAAATACAGCTCTTGAATGGGCACAAAAGCACAAACACTTGCAGGCGCACAGTGTATTCATTTAAGTTGCCTCCCATTAGTCCACTGTTGACCCTGTTGTGCTGGCAGGTGTCCAGATTAGTGTGACTTGTATTGATAAAGCAAAAGCGATTTCAAGACACTTTTCATAAAAAACAGGTTTAGACTTTGGTCTTTAATTTACAGAGACCAAAAGTTACATTCCCCAATGAGCAAGCACTGCAACAGTGAAAAACTCCCATTAACGGGAAGACACCTCGAGCAGAACCTGGCTCGAGATGGACGGCCATCTGCTTCGACCAGTTTGGATGGAGAGAGAAAAAGAAATTGAGCCATGTACTGTACAGCTACAATAATAGCAACAGTTATTTCTATAACAATTTGAAAAATAACAATAGTAGCAGTGGGCTCAAGCAGAACTACAGCATCAGCCATAGCTACAACCCCGGCTCAGCTATTACTGTCTGAATACAGCATCAGGAAAGAAGACGCACATGATGAGATATCGATCAATGACCAAAGCTGTCTGTGAAAAGTCTTCTTTTCCAGCTATAGAGAGAGTGATGAAGAGAAACTGTGGATATGTGTGTGCTTCTGTGAGAGTCTTTTGTATGTGTGTGTGCACCTCATGGATCATGTCAGAGTGCCAAAACAAAAGCAAAGAAAAGGTCAGGCTGGTGTCGCCACACAGTTTTCTCTGGGTCACAGATGGTGTGGTGGGCTGAATGTAAGGCTGAGACTTTGGGGTTATGTGGAGGAGGAGGGGTTCTTAGGAATGTCTGTGCATACATATGTGTGTGTGTGTGTTAGTGGTGGGGGTGAGCTATTTGTGAACGCATGGAGAATGTGTGTGCTGTTTAAGAGCAAGAAGGTAGAAAAGGGAACAAACAGGGAGAGAAAGTGAGAATAAGACAGGCAGTGTGGTGAAAAGGAGAAAAAGGGAGAGGGGAGTGGCAGAGAAAGGGGGGGAGAGAATAATAAATGGAGTGGGGGGGTTTGAGAGGTAATGCGGCGCACCATGCTTGTCACTCAGAAAGCTGTGTCTGCAGTTCAATCGATGATGATGGTATGACAACACCTCTGTGTGTGTCAAAAGTTGCTCTCCTCTCCTTTCTTTTCCCAGTCCACTTGTCACTCTCTCCCTCTTCCTCCCCCCGAGGTGTTTAGGAGGAGGTGGGAGACGGAGGGATGGTGTTGAGGCTGCAACGTCAGCTCCTTTCGCCCTCTTTCTAATGTCAAGGTCTCAGCACCAGCACCCACATCCCATATTCCCGACCCTCAGACACGCCAACAGCCCCTTCCAGCTGTCTTGGCTGAAGGGGAGGGGGTGGGGGGAGGGGGGAAAATGCCCTGTTGCAAGTACATATGGACCTCAGGATGGCTGGCAGGAGTTGTGTTTGTATACGAGAGTGTGCTGGTGGTAGGCGGTGAATTGAAAATTAGTGGAACAGATGCGGGATGGGGTTGGGGGCGGTGTGGTGGGAGGGGGTTATTGATTTGATAATCTGTGCCAGGCGGCCAATCGAAGCATGTAGATTTTCCAGGTTCCGACCCCTCTATCCCTAGCATTTATTAGGACGTTTTATTTTAGGAGGAATAGGATGAAATTCATGAGCCAAGGTTGATCCTTCTGATCTCTCCCCGCCCCTTCTCTCGCTCTCCCTCCTCCCCCTCTGTCCCTCTCCCCGTTTCACTCTCTCTCGCTCTCTTTCTCTCAGTCAATCGATGCCCACACCCCTCCTCATAAATGCAAGGCTTTATATGAGCCAACTCTCGTCTCTGGGAGCACATTTAAATAAGCTCATCGATCTTTCATTTTAGAGTTTAAGTGACGGCAGCATTTTACTGTCTCTCTCCTCCTCTTACTCCCCCTTTTCCTCCACCTCTCATCTGCTCACCTATTCACTCTCCCTTCTTTATTCATAACTTATCCCCCCCCCCCTACCACACACACACACCCTGTCGCTGAGTAGGTTCTGCTCCTCAGCTGTTTGACTGATTCACATTTCCAGCATGGATAGGCAGAGCCTCATTCAAGACTTTATATTCTGACTGAAGTCAAGGATGGGTCACATTTGACTGTGTATCAAAATGCAAATTGTATTCTATATCACTAACTGACAGAGTCCAGAATACGTCAATACCTTTCCAGCTGTTCAGGATTTTCTGAGAATAGCATGTCATTTCGACAGCCGTGCATTTACGAGATTTTCAACATCGTTTTGTGACATTTTTTAGCAACAAAAATGACTGAGGACCACAAAGTACCTTCACGGACATTAAAACATCAAAATGTTCAAAGTCAGAAAGGGTTCACATAACAACAGCCAAATGGACCATTAGGTTTAAAATACGTGGAGGATGATTTGGTCGCCATTGCTATTTGGATGATGATAATGTTCAATAAGTAGCCAATGTGTAATGAAAAAATATTACATGGGTCGTCATTATTGCTAACCTTGCCCAAGGTAATTGCATTAAAGGTCCCATGTCATGCTTTTCCGGTTATTACCCGTCCCCTTGTGTGTTATGAAGGTTTTTATGCATGTAAACGGTCTGCAAAGTCACAAACCCTCAAAGTACACCCTGTAGCGAGTAAAACTCTAACACAGAAAAGACCTGTCTATGCTGAGCCAGAACGCCTCGTTGGAGATTGATGGGTACAGTGACGTGCCCATACCCAAATGGACCCATTGGTCCGTGGAGCTCCTCACACACACACACTCTCTCAGCGGCAAAACTGTGACGCGCTGGGGTGCTAGTGGAGCCTCGCAGCGCTGTCTCGCTGTCTCGCAGACCCCACGCAGCAAGCAGGAAATGAACCCAGGCTTCCCAGCTCACACTGTCCGCTCCTCGCAGCAGCGAGCCGCGCAATGTCCCGCGAACACGGCACCGAGACCCCACGCAGCATTCTCATCTGTTTGTCCTTACTGGTGTCATTTTCTGGTTGCTAACGCCATTGTAACACATAATCACTGATGTTCCGCTGTAACGGTGGTAGACTCATCAGAACAGAGTGGGCGAGCTGACCAATCAGAGCACAGTGGGCTCACAGGGAGGAGGGGGGGGTCCAACAAGCCGTTTAGGACAGAGAGTGAATACACATACTATACAGAGATGCTGTATGAGAAAACCAATGTGATTTTGGAAAATTGCACAATATAAATCTATTCTAGTATACCTCAACAATGGAATTATGATCAGTAGAAATGGCCATGACATGGGACCTTTAAAATGTGTCTCGATCATCCCAGCTGTAAAACCATTGCATTTATTTCTTGTCGGAAAATATATTGCAGGTCCCAATTTTTAAAGGTCTCTTATTAAAAATGTGTTTCTTACCATATGTTTGAAAAGTTTTCTTCAACTAGGCCAAGCAAAGAACTTGCTGACCCACTTAGTGGATCTATCAGTGTGATTAGGTTTGATATGACTCATGTCATTGGCCCAACTAAGCTCAACCATAGCTTGATGGTGATTGGACCAATGGGCATGCTTAAGTGAATTGAGGTCACTGATAGGACGTTTGCATACCGGGCTGTGGACTGGGAGAGTTCTGAGCGTGATGTTAAAATCCAAATCAAATAGACTAGCATGCAGCCTTACAACTGCGCACACACACGCTCAAACACGCACACAACCGTACACACACACAAAGTCGTTGTGTCTCATCAGTGTCAAACATTTAAAGCAGACGTGGAAATGTGCTTAACCATGTTGTAATGAGGAGAGGGTGAATGAGGATCCTCGTCTAACTGATTACCATCGTCCACGCCGCACAACCTTACAGGGACTTCTCCACCTCTCTCACCACTTATGAATCTTAAGTCTGTTTTTTACATTTGTATTATCTGCCGCTGATGGTCTCATTTGGCAGCGTTTGCTTGCAGTTCATAAAAAACGATATTTTTGTGAATACATTTGTATTAGGGAATGTTTGAGACCAGAATAATTATTGCACGCTCTGTTACTTTAGCATGCGACCTGAGGATCTTGTTCTATTTTAAACTTGAAATTCAATGCTTATAGTACAGCTTCTTTCCTCGTCAAACATCACAAATGTGATCTCACATTCAAATAGTTAGAATTTTGGATGCCTTAGAAGAGAATTTGCTGTCTGATGGATTGTGTGTGTGTGTGCGCGCGCATGACTATTAGAGGTGAGGAAGCGATGGAGGAGAGGAAAGTGTAAATGTGTTTGTGTGGGAGTGTGTGATAGACGTCAGGTTAGTCGGGTCTAAGAAGAAGTGAGGTCCCTGGTTGACTCCTTATTTCCTGTCGGTCAGGAGGAACAAATCAGCACACTTCCACAGCCAGCTGACACTTTACGCTCTGTGGGCGTCTTTGGGAGGAACAGAGTTTGTGTGTGTGTGTGTCTACCTGTCTATGTGTGCAGTACAACACTACATACAATGTGTGTTGCTGCCAGGTGTGTTTGTGTGAAGCTCTTTTTCATCAGCCCTAAGTGTTTTCCTCACAGCAGAAAAAGGCAGCTGTAAAAAGGCAGCAAGAGACTC